AGAAAAGTTATTTTGCTAGTAAAAGGCAAGCAAATTGAAAGTTGATTTATAAAATTGCTTATAAATGATTACGAGATAATAATAAAGAAATTTTGATTGAATAATTATTTAAATAATCAACCGTGAAACTATATTCTGGTAGGTTTAGTAGAAATAAGTCCGTGCAACCTTGTATTTAGCAACTGTCGGCCAAATGTCACGTGACATTTGACCTTGACTCGGCACCAAAATTTGATGACAAATACTGCGCGGTTGATACATTTGATGGCGTCAACAAACTGCTTGCTCCAAATCTTATACAATTTTAAGCTTGTATCAGATTTTCAATCTTTTCTCTTGTATTTTGCCGTGACCTGCCTAGTATTTTATTGCAGATTGCAGAGCTCTTACTCTGATTCAGTTTTGTGTTGCTGCAAGATGTAGGTACATTTAGGAGGTTTCCAAGAGAGGAGAAGATGAGGGTCGCTCGGGTGAGGGCTGTCAGGTAAGATCCAGATGTGTCCTTGGTAAGATCCAGATGTGTCCTTGTTAGCTGTATTGATAAATGCAATACATTATGTAGTAATGATAAATGTAATAAATGTTATGTAATGACAAGCACAAACCAGGAGCTTTTACAGCCCAATGATCACCATAGGCAAAGATTCCATTTCTCGTCCTGAAAAGTGCCTTCTTGAGGAATTTGCTGAGGAATGCAGCCATGTCATCGTCAGCTAATCAGCATTGGCATGCTGCTAACAGCCAATGGGTTTGAATTTTACAACATGATTAATCAATGCAAGCTTCCGCGTCAAACAATATTTTCTATAGAATATTGGGTAGTTGTGAAGCAGGCGTCACACTACTTTTTGCAATGAAGGAGAGGTGCTATACCCAGAGATGCTTTCTAATTGAACCAAGCCAAAACAAACCTAACTAAACCTGACCTAGCCATACCTACAACCTAAACTCTACAACCTAGGTACCTACAACTTAGAACCTACAACCTAACCTACAGCACCTCTCCTTGGTTGCAAAAAGAAGTGTGACGCCTGCTTTACTACTACCAAATATAGTTCTTCTTTTATTAAAATACAGAAAATATTGTTTATATAAAAGTTTTATTTTTGTGCTGATCATAATGAGCATAACAAATCAAATCCATTGCATAAAACTAATTACAGGAAAGAGAACATGAAATCCATTAAAAGCTTATCATGTTTACCACAAGTTACCTAATGAAGGTAATGCTTTGACCTGGTAATCCGTTGAGTGTAATGCCGCAGGCAGCTCTAAGGGATGTGTTGGGATGGGTAAGGAAAATATTTTTGGTTGAAGAGGTGTGTTATAGGCTACAGGCCAAATGCATACCTCTTTAACAAAAAAAGAAAAGATGTAGGTACTCTTACCTAGCATATATTCCAGTTACTATGTACAAAAAAGACGTGCTACGAATGTTGCTAGCGAACCACTGTAGGTTGGGTTAGTTAAGGTTTGACCATGTTCTGAAGCATTGTAAATAATCATAATTGTTCACTCTTAGCACCTCACATTGATATAAAGCCAATTAACTACATTTTGATTGCTAGGTGAGGATGTCAACCTTCTGATTCTGGATTCTGGAGCCAAAATAACATGATACAGTGTCAGTGATACCATCTTGTTTAGAAGCTGTGGCTGTGCTGTCTGAGTCAATATCTTACCTCTAAACACAAGGCATTTTGTATGTAAAAGTCCACGTGCAAGAACAGTATGCCAGTTGTTACATTTGTTGCATCTGTCATTTACAGACGTGCAGATGCAGTTCCCAGGAGCACTTCCCAGCTCTGTTCCTGTCATTTTGAGGAGGGCAGCTGCATCCCAACACTCTTCCAGTACAACGGGACATCGGGTACCAGATTGCTCATTTCCGGTAAGCACTAGCCACTTAACTTCATTGTTTGAGTCCAACTCATATGCCAGGTTGCTTACCATACCAGTATATGCATAGTAATGATGCAAGTCTTGAGCCTACGGGCCCGGGCGGTGTTTCACGGGACGCTGCTACCACGCTGCTATCAAATTGCGCGAGCTGACGTCACACTTGTGGTAGTGTTGGAGCAATGGGCCTGTTCATGTCTCCATGGAAACCCAATTTGACACGTGTAAAAGCATCGTGCTGCTATCACCGGTGAAACAGGGCCCCGGTGTCGGGCTTAAAATCGGACCCGCCGGACTTTTGCCGGGCCTAAGCTCGAGGAGGCCGGGCATATGCCGGGCTCGGCAAGGGCTTGCCTGTGTTAAAGGGACAATGCCACCTTCCAAAAAGTTAATAAATTGGCATAAAAGTGATGTGCCATAAATCAGAAAGAGCGAAATTTTTAGGTTTACATTTTGCACGAAGCCATCAAAGCGATGCAGCAGGCTAGTCATATGTATTACTTGTTGCACACTCATATCTTGGGCAAAATGTATTGATGACAAGTGGAAGAAGTGGAAAAACGGTTTTAGCCTTTATTTGTGTATTATGTGTATACCTGTCAGCGCAGTGTGGAAGTTGAAATTGTTGGTTTGGTAAATCTTCATAAAAACATAATAGTTGTGGTTCAGTTCAAAGTTGATTCAAATTCACAAACTCAGTTTTTGTGATGTGGTTGCAGGTCGCCTGTGCTACACCAAGCTCAGAAAGGGAAAGCGGATCACACAGCCACCATCAGCGCGCTAGAACTCCAAGGAGGATCTGCGAGCGGCGCGCCAGGCGCCGTCGGAGCAGCCCCTGGTAGCGACAGCCGCCGCGCCGTCGGAGCAGTCCCTGGGAGCCACGGCCAGCCGCTGTCGGAGCAGCCTCTGGGAGCCGGCCGGCCGCCGTCGGAGAGGCCTCTGGGAACTTACCTGTAACTGACTGCGGCTGACGTGTGTGTCCGTGTGCGCGCGTGTGTGTGTGCGTTTCCACTGGCAGTGATAGTGACAGGTGAACGGTGTTCATGACCGATGGCCGGCGGTCTTTGTTGTTATTCTGATAATACGTATGATACATTGTTTTAATATGTTTTGTTCTGAAACGTTTCCAAAAACTGAATCACTTCATTATCATTCTACTTAATTAAAGCATGTTTACCAGATAAAAGGATTTGCAAATCAAAGGAAGTAAAATTGTGTGAAAATTTACTCAGTTGCGCAGCTAGCCAACACACATTTGCTACTGTCAGGCCGCTATGGAACATGTTCAAAGTAGCTCAACGTATTGAATGACTCACTGCTCCCCCCCCCCCCCCCCCGCCAACGTTGGCGCGCATTGGGCGCAGGCACAAGAGTGGTATCAACGACCGCCGTCTTGAGCTGCACCAGGGTCTGCTGGCTCTTCGTCATGTATGGTGCATTGTTCAGATATCCCCGCTGTACGCTGTACGCTGTACGCCACTGTTTCGTTATAATATTTTCTGCTCGATTTGTTTGAAATATGGAAATATGTATAGACACTGGATGTGCAAAGCGTCCGTGTAGGACATCTACTTGTTTCAAACTGTCCCGGAGCATCCATGTTTCGGAAGTGCACGGCGTCGATGATGGCGAAAACGAGAGGTGCAATAATGTTGTAGCGGAACACCGGGACTGCACACAACTCACTGCAGTTGTCGACGTTTACACCGAATTATCTTGCTCAGCTCAGGTTGGCTTTGAAAACGGCAGGGTCATCGGGCGGGCTTAAAGGCGGTTAATACAGAGGACGGGATGGAGTGAAGGTTCCCGTTCAGGCGGTAAAGGGGGGGGGGGCGTCAAAATACCGGACTGTGACCCCTCAACGTGCGGCCGCCTCCCCCCTCCCCCAACTTTCATGACAACCATGTTAAGGACGGGCGTACAACTGTAAGCACATGTTGCATTTCGGATGTTGTGCCTGTAACAAATGCAAAGTTTTGCATTTTTTGACAATCAAAGCTCATTTCCTCCCAGCGAAGTAGATATTGAAACAATTTTTGAAGAGTTGATCTACCATTTGCATATTCCGGCGACCGCCATAAAAGCCTCAAAAGCGTGTGAAATTCAATGGGCCTGAGCTGGGCTGGGTTCGGCGCCCATGGGCCCCGCTTGGGATGGGCTGTGTTCTGTGGGTTGGCTGGCCCGTGACGAACACTGCACCCTCGAGCCCGGCATAAACTAAACATGGCCGGTTCATAGTATAAAAGTCCGGCTGAGCCTTCTTTCAGCTTAGCAGCAGCATTCTAGTATTTGCAGATACCGTGCATGTTTCATACAAGACACAATTATACCTATAGATTCGCCCATGACAACCCCGATTCGTTGTTTGCCCGCATCAATAGAACGGAACACCTATCAACTACTAGCTCCAGCATAAACGTATCAACATGGATGCTCGTATAGTCCTATTTACCTTCGTATCCATATTTGATCTAACTGCTCTTTCTGGCACAGTTCAACACAAAACCTTAGTTTGTTGTCTGGAATAGATCAGAACAATACCTATGGGTGTTGTTGGTAGGTAGTTAAAAAGTAATACCTAACGGTAACGGGTGACCTAATACACCGATCACTTCCACTCATCGGTTGCAGTGACTGAAAATGGCTTTAATGTAATTCAAAACTGCATTTATACTCCGGTTTTCAACACTTGTTCGTTGTATTTATAATTAGTGGTGGCTTCTCTTCCGTCATAAGCGCGAATCGAACCTAAAATGGGCCTGTACTTATTCAATTTTGCCGATAAAAATATATTTTTGGTACCGTTAGAAAGCTTACACACGACTGCATGTGGTGCTAGTTGTATCTTTGAAAAATTCGTCCTAGTTTAGTCAGGAGAGCTAATCAAAAAGTAGGTCCCATTGTATCCCTATGGGGGCCGAGAGCGAGTCGGCACCACAGTTACCGGGAGGTGCCCCCGCCACAACCGCACGTGCGGATCCCTCGAAAAACAGCGAGTCCGCCGGTCACGTGACCAGGCTCATTTGCCGACACTGTATTTATATACACTGTGGTATTTAGGGCCTTGGGTGGCAGCACCTTCACTCAATATACCCTGGCAGCACCATACGATCTCATTGTTTTGATTGCTGATATGACGCAGATGTTACATTTCCGAGGTCATAAGTGTAAACATCGCAATTTTTTCTTCGCGTTTGACTGGTGGGTGGTGGGTGGAGTTGGGTCAGGGTGGAGTGAGTCTGTTAATAATGTCTTTTACAGACTTAAGGGACTTCAACTTAATTCAAAGTGTCCTATGAAGTAACCTCATATCTGGTTTCTAGGCTTACTATGGCTTTGGAGTTTGGCTCGGTATTTTAGGAGCTTTTTTACCTTTCCAGTTTGTGCCAACTTGAACTGCCAAATTTTAGATAAACTTAAAGGACTCTGTAAAAGCATATAATAGTCTGAGTGGCTATTTTAAGACTGCATTTCTTTGTCCAAACACAAATAAAAATGGAAAATGGTTAAAATAGCAAAAATTGGGTGAAATAGCTAAAAAAAAACAACGAAGTCAGAACATAACCATAAACCAACCCTTAGGTACCCCTATTCCCTAACCTCATCCACTGATTTTTGCATACCTGAGGAAAAGGAAAAGGCTCAAACGAATAGATTGCAAGCAATGGTAAGTCAAATATTTTTAGGTTAGGTGCATCAGGCTTCAGGTCGAATCAGGAGTTCTGTTCGCCCCCATTTATCTATCAGCAGGCTGCGATCATGCTGCTACTTCTTGGCTCCTCATTGCTGGAATTCAAGTGGTCGTTTTGTTAGACCAATGAGAGGCCAAAAAGTGCCAGCAATAACTTCCTTATATGGGAAACCAACAGCATGCTGATTTAAAAACACTAGCGACCCAACAGAGCTCCTGAGCCGGAGCGGGTCCCGAAAGGCTGAATGCTGGACGGGGCTAACCCACCTGGAGGATAAAATGCTGGGTTAAGAAAGAGGCCACAATTCCAACTCTGGACTCACAACTCACAGAAGCTTAAAATTACAACCCTTTTTGTAATGTTTGGCTCACTGGCATCCTTTAATCTATCCATGAATTGAAACGTGTTGATTGACTGTTTCACTGTCCATGCTGTCTTTATATTTATTTTCAGAAATAAGAACATCAATCAAGCTTGGTTTGGTTGGCATGAAAAATGGATTGCACTGGTGAGTTGGAATCCGGTCAAACTGGAAATTTTATCACACAACAAATGTAATTGGCATTGCTGAGTATGCATGCACTTTGATTTAGGTTTTTTTCTACATAACCTCAGTGCTTCACATGTAATTGGCACATTAATGACCCTTGCAAGCTGCAATAATGTAGATATTTTAGTGTGGTTGGATTGTCTTTACCTTATTCATGCCTAATACTCTGTTGCTTTTTCTTCATGTGATGCAAGATTCTTGTTTTACAGTGGGATGTCTATATTGTCTAATGCATTATGTTCTTGCAGGCAAAAACCCATATGACAACATTCTGAAGGAGCTGACTGTGGGGGAAACCGCCTACAAGTACTATGACATCACAGCTCTAAATGACCCGAGATATGGTAAGTATAGTGTTTAACATCAATACATCCACTATATTGTCTAGTATTTCTAAAGACTGGTGCAAGTGCAGGGCGCAGGCTGCAGAGCTGCACCTGAACCAAGTGTGCTATGTACTTTGAATGTCCACTCCTAAGAAATGTTAAGCCAAAGGAAAAGGCTGCAGAGTGCAGACCTAAATCGTTTCACTGTAATAAGGGTATTTAGGGATGCCAGGTGTCAAAGTTCCAGTGGGTGTCATTATCAGGCCAGAGTCAGAGGTACTGCACACCTATCTGTGGATTCTGTATGACAGATTTCGATAAACTCCTCTGTATGTGTGCTGCCCTGCCAGCCATCTCTAGCCTCTCTTCTCCTGTTCCCTTTCCAAAATAGTTGTCATTTTCTGTTGCCTGCATTGTCATTTTCTGTATGCCTGCTGCCACCACTATGTGTGATTTCCCTCCTCCCCCAGACCAGCTGCCGTTCTCCGTGCGCGTTCTGCTCGAGTCGGCGGTGCGCTGCTGTGACGAGTTCCAGGTGCGCAGTGCCGACGTCGCCAACATCCTGGACTGGCGAGCCAACACGGCCGACGACGCTGCGGCCGTGGAGGTGCCCTTCAAACCGGCGCGGGTCATCCTGCAGGTGGGACGGGAGAGGAGGGGATGGGAGGAGGAACCACTGAGAGAATGGGTATGGTGGGGGATGGCAGAGGTCAGATTGATTAGCTGAAGAGGGAGTCGTGGTCTTTATTAGGTAAGTGGGTAAGTAGGATCTGTTCATCCCTGAAGGTCATTCAGTTTTCTCTGCTTATTGTCTGCAAAGTATTGTAGTGAGCGCTCCATTTCCATGTGCTCTCAACCATTGTATCGCTATGTTTTGATGCTCATATCTCTCCCGTACCGCTTTTTAGCGCTTGTGCTCACTGTCCCTCTCTCCCGCCCCCTCCAGGACTTCACGGGCGTGCCGGCCGTGGTGGATTTTGCCGCCATGCGCGAGGCAGTGCGCTCCCTGGGCGGGGACCCGGACAAAATCAACCCCGTCTGTCCGTCGGACCTTGTCATCGACCACTCGGTGCAGGCCGACTTCACACGCACGTGAGTTTCGTGACGGGAGCAGACAGGTAGCTGCCAGGTGGGGTGAGATGAGAGAGGTGTTAGTGAATGGTTGACTGGTTTGGGGTTGAGTGTTTCGTGTGTCTGATTAGTAGCAGGTATTTTAACGTGTTTTTCAGAGGTCTGTGGTGCAGTGGAAGGCGATATACCTGTTGCTGAGGTGACAGCGGGGACTGGGACGTGGTTTGCTCGTGTAATTATGATGATGCTTGTGTACTTTAGCTGCTATATTGACAAGGTCGTTGTGTTCCCTCGAAGCTGACGCACTTTTCGTTTTTCTTGCGGCCAGCTCTGACGCTCTGAAGAAGAACCAGGCTCTGGAGTTTGAGCGGAACAAGGAACGGTTCCAGTTTCTCAAGGTACGGCACGATGGTGGCTGAACGTGTGGGTTACTCTACAATTGTTATCCTTATCGGTGCTAGGGGCTTAAAAATAATCGTATTTTATTAGTTTACAACATAGCATGGCTATTCTAGGTGTCGGTGGCATTTGAAAATCGGGGTTGAACTGCTTTGAGGTAGCGATTTCGCTATTGTGCCAAATTTGGAGGTAAAGTTAAGGTGTCATAGGAGACCAAACGAGGATCTTCTGTGTTGTTCAACGCTCACACTAGCATACAACACTGTGCACCACTCACCCTCCCCGTCTTCCCCCTCCACAGTGGGGCTCCCAGGCGTTCCGCAACATGCTGATCGTGCCTCCGGGCTCCGGTATCGTGCACCAAGTGAACCTCGAGTACCTGGCACGCGTCGTGTTCGACACGGACGGCCTGCTCCGACCCGACTCTCTGGTCGGCACCGATAGCCACACCACCATGATCAACGGCCTGGGCGTGCTCGGCTGGGGCGTGGGCGGGATTGAGGCAGAGGCGGTGATGCTGGGACAGGCCATCAGCATGGTGCTGCCTCCCGTGGTCGGATATAAGATCACAGGGACGGCCAGCCCGCTGGCGACGTCCACCGATATTGTGCTCACAATCACAAAGGTGAGAGAAGGGACAGGGAAGAGTGGTGCGTGTGGGAGGGGAGAGTGAGGAGTGTGAGAGGGAGGGAGTGTGGCTAGGGGGGAGAGTAATGATTCAGGTTTGGGTTGACTGATGCTGTGGTGACAGCGTGATGGTTCTAAGAAGTTTGTGACAAGTTTGCTGTTAATTGTTCTTATGGTTGTTACCTATTATGTTGTTGCTGCTGATTTAGAAGTTTTTTACATTGATGATTCTGGGAAGTTTGTGCCAAGTTTTGCTGTTGATTGTTCTGATTATTGCTATTATGTTGATGCTGTTGATTTGGAGGTTTATGTTACGTTTGATGCGATAACCTCTAAAGAAGACTCACCGTATCTGACCTGACCTCCGTCTCCGTCAGCACCTGCGTCGTGTCGGCGTGGTGGGCAAGTTTGTCGAGTTTTTCGGTCCCGGCGTGAGTCAGCTGTCGATCGCTGATCGAGCCACCATCTCCAATATGTGTCCAGAGTACGGCGCCACCGTCGGCTTCTTCCCAGTGGACGCCAAGAGCATCGACTATCTGAGACAGACCGGTCAGTGGACTGATGATTTATAATTGAGAGTTCAGGGTGGTTCACTGCATGAACTTCTGTGTCAACGCCCATTCTGTGTGTTCTATGCGGGATTTGGGGCGGGAGAGAGTGGACGAAAGATTGTAAGACTAGGGGCTACCTGAAACGGAGGGAGGGAACGACAAGTATGATGGAATAGGGCAGGTCTGTAATTCACGCTTTTAAGTAAATAATTGTGTAAGCTTAGGTATTACCCGAGTTCTGCGTGTTCCCTCACTTCACCACCGTCCTCCCCATCCGTCACAATCCCCCCCCCGCCCCCTACAGGCCGTGACGAGGCGCGTATCGCGGTGACCGAGGCGTACCTGCGTCGCGTCGGTCTGTTCCGCGACTACTCGTCGGCTGGAGAGGACCCGACCTTCTCACAGGTGGTCGAGCTCGACCTCGCCTCCGTGGTACCGTCCCTGAGCGGACCTAAACGGCCCCACGACCGCGTGGATGCATCTGGAATGAAGGAGGATTTTCTGCAGTGTCTTTCCAATAAGGTGGGCATTGGTGATTTCCGATTGAGAAGTACGTCTGACAGAATTTATAGTATGCGCGGGGGGGGGGGCTCTAACGGATGATGGTGGATAAAACACGCATTTTGAGCCACATCAGAATATGTAATTGTGTTGTGCATGCTCAGCATGTCATAATGTTTCATGTGATTCATATTTAGCTTGTCGGTATTCATGATTACATGTCCATGAGTACGTTTTGGCTTATTGAGACAGGCAATTGTTCAGCACTTGACGTTCAAACACAAAGCTTTACGGTACCACGACATCTGAATGCATGTTCCGAGGAGAGTCTGACCGTCCTGCGCTCCTTTTCCTCCGCTGGCTGCGTCCACAGGTTGGATTTAAGGGTTACGGCCTGGCGCCGGAGCGGCTATCTCACAGGGAGGAGTTCACACTGGACGGACAGACGTACAGCCTGGGACACGGCTCGGTGGTGATCGCCGCCATCACCAGCTGCACCAATACCAGCAACCCGAGCGTCATGCTGGGAGCAGGTGAGAGAGACACGGCACCAACAGACACCAACACCAACCCATCACCAGCTGCACCAGCACCAGCAACCCGAGCGTCATGCTGGGAGCAGGTGAGACAGACACGGCACTACATAGGCACCAACACAGACACCAACAGCAACCCATCACCAGCTGCACCAACACCAACCGTAGCGTGACGTCAGGGGCAGGCGAGACCGTGAGACGCGGCTGCAGTTACAGACGCCAAGGCCAGCAACTGCAACGTTCTGTTCGGAGCATTGGGAAGCCTGAGGGATGCCACTGTTAGGTAATTTGAGAAAGACCGAAACTGGTGACGCATCTTGTGGTGCTAAATAACGTTTCCGCTTAAAAACAACGATCTGCATAACTTAGCACCGTTGCGCTTTCAGTAAATTCGGTTGATAGTGATACCCGACCACAGCTCTGCTGAATAACTACTGTCGTAAAGGGGTTGTCCATCTGTGTGTATCCACGTCGTGCCGTCCCTTGCTGTTCATCTACATAGTCACCCCGCTGCCCCACCTCTTCTCGCTACAGGTATCCTGGCCAAGAAGGCGGTGGAGCGCGGCCTGTCGGTCCAGCCTTGGATCAAGACGTCCCTGTCCCCCGGCTCCGGCGTCGTCTCCCACTACCTGGAGGACAGTGGTGTGCTACCGTTCCTACAGCAGCTCGGCTTTGATGTGGTCGGCTACGGGTGTATGACCTGTATCGGCAACAGCGGGCCGCTGCCCGAGCCCGTCAGCGAGGCCATCGAAAAGGTGAGGAGGGAAGAGGGACGAACTGGTGCGAGCGGCAGGGATGGGCACGGGTGGTAGAGGTGTGTCAAAAATATGGGATGGACACAGAAAATGCTGCGCTGCTAATTTCTCCCAACAGAAAACGGCGCGCCAATCCAGTCGAGGCTGAAGTTTATTTTCACCGTAGTCATAATGCATCTCACCTCTCAGTCTTAAATTCTAAACCGGTAACTTACGGTACCTTCTGGGTGATGGCCGAAGGAATGTAATATTGTGCCCTGCACGTGCAGTCTAAGATCATAACTGCCTTGAACAGGGTCTGTTTATTTTACCGGCGACTATGAGCGCAATCGGCTCAGCTCGTAGGGAATCATGTGACTTTAACCTGAACAGCTTTACTCACCCCTTCCCCCTTCCAACCCCAGGGTGACCTGGTGTGCTGCGGCGTGCTCTCCGGTAACCGCAACTTCGAGGGCCGCATCCACCCGCACTCGCGCGCCAACTACCTGGCCTCGCCGCCGCTAGTCATCGCCTACGCGCTGGCCGGCCGCGTCGACATCGACTTTGAGACGACGCCGCTCGGTGAGAACGGGGCGTCGTCGTACCGCTGGCGTGGACGGCATGGAAATAGAAAAAAATGTGAATGATGCTTGAAATAGTAGAAAGGTATTAGTTTTTCCTCTATGAGTGAAAGTAACTTGTGTTTTAGGGACGTTCGAATGCTATGCGATCATTCACTGTTAGAAAAGTACAACGGTTATAATTGTTGGAATAAATATGTCTTGTAGCTTTCCGAGTAGACCTAGCATATTTCGTCAAATACCTATGTCGTGAAGTAGTATATTGGTGTGAAGCATCCGATGCTATGCTCGATGCCGGCCAACTTTGTCCTTCACCTGCTCCCCTGTGTGTGTGTAGGCACCTCCGAGTCCGGAGATCCGGTGTACCTGCGCGACATCTGGCCGACACGAGAGGAGATCCAGGCGCTCGAGGCCAAGTCGGTGATCCCGGCCATGTTTAAACAGGTCTACTCCAAGATCACACAGGGTGAGTAGCGCTCCGTCACCACCCCAACTGGAGCTAAGTAACAGTCAGTGTTGTTGGGAGATGCGGTGCACGGTCAGTGTGCTGACATGCGGTGAAACCGGCCCCAATAACGCGTTATGATTGTGATGCAGTCTGTCAAAGTGTATACTCTCATTAATTGGCATTCATGTGACAATTACATGGGTACATATCTCTGATGAAAGCAGCTGTTGTCTTTCATCGTTCATCAGCTGTTTCTAGATCGGATTCTGAAATTGCGTGTATTCCTCATACTCATTGTTTCATCACTGCCAGGCAACGAGAACTGGAACTCGCTGGAGACGCCGGAGACCAAGCTGTACCCGTGGGACGACAACTCCACCTACATCAAGCTGCCGCCCTTCTTCCAGGGCATGACCAAGGTCCGTGTGTTTCACACATACTATTTTTCAATGAGAATGTATGGAAGAGAAGTGAGAGATGTGAGAACTCCTTCTAATTTAGTGTTATTCTACTGTTTGGATTAGGCGCCTTGTGCTGAATCTCCTTTCAAATACAGAATGTAATTCGGCTAGAATTTAGGCGAAAGCTCTTGCTGAGACATGTCTTTGATTATCCTGTTCCGTGCTGCTTGTCTCATCTTGCCGAGCTCAGACCTAACCCGTTCCTTACCACCCAATACCTGTCCATCACCGAATTCAGACAATGTACAGTCCACAGTTGCATAAGTAATGTGCGGTTTCAGTCCTGGGTATGTTCTGCTTCTGAAGCTTAGGAATGATTAGCCAGACCACAATGAAACTTTGAATGTAGCTAACCTGTATCGTTACCCTTGCAGCTGCAACCTTATCTATTGACGTCTTCTTTTCAATCGCTCCGCATTTAAAAATCGGCAGTCAAAGCCATCCGTTGAGATTGATAAAACCGGACATTACTTTAGCGGTGGGCTGTACGTACGATCATACTCTTATCGCACCCGTCAGGCCCACAGTTAAAGTCTCTAACCTTACGGATTCCAGCACAGACCATACCTGCTCCTCTACCCCGACTGTTACTGTCTGTGACCCGTCTGTCTGTAGGTACAGCAGTTGATGCCCTGACCCTGCCCCACCGTGACCTCTCCCACTGACCGGGACGTTTCTGCGCCCAGGAGCTGCCACCGCCAGTGGTGATTCAGGAGGCGCATGCGCTGCTGTTCCTCGGCGACTCTGTGACCACCGACCACATCTCACCGGCCGGCAGTATCGCCCGCAACAGCCCGGCAGCGCGCTACCTGGCCGCCAGGGGGTCAGTATTTCCCGCAATAGCCCGGCAGTATCGCCCGCAACAGCCCCGCAGTATTTCCCCAAACAGCCCGGCAGTATTTCCCGCAAAAGCCCGGCAGTATTTCCCCAAACAGCCCGGCAGTATTTCCCGCAAAAGCCCGGCAGTATTTCCCCAAACAGCCCGGCAGTATTTCCCGCGATAACCCGGCAGTATTTCCCGCAACAGTCCGGCGGCGCGCTACCTAGCCGCCAGGGGGTCAGTTTAGGGGCGCTTAGGGAGCGGCGGGACGAACGAACCGAGAAACTCTCAGTCATGGGTCCTTGTACCGCGAAGTTCAGTAAGCCATGCATATCAATGAATGCAGTGAGTAACTTGTTGAACCCCGTTGAGACCAGTTGTGTGAATGACGCGACCAGAATATCGGCCACTTATCTTAGTTGTCAATTCATGTGATGAATGTCCACGTATTCGCTGCTATCACTACTGAATATGTTGCTGGCCATAGCATAAATCTTCGAAAACTGGGATAGCGGTAGATCTCTCCCCACGATCGCTTCATGCGGTTCAAGATATCTCTTGTCCCTTCTCCGACCCTAACTCCCACTTCGCCACCTGCCCGCCAGGCTAACTCCGCGCGAGTTCAACTCGTACGGCTCCCGGCGCGGTAACGACGCCGTGATGGCTCGCGGCACGTTCGCTAACATCCGGCTGGTGAACCGACTGGTGGACGCGCCCGGGCCGCGCACCGTTCACGTGCCCTCCGGAGACACCATGGATGTGTACGACGCGGCCGACCGCTACCGCCAGGAGGGCCGGCCGCTCATCATTCTGGCAGGGAAGGACTACGGCTCGGGCAGCTCGCGAGACTGGGCTGCCAAGGGGCCGTTCCTCATGGTAAGTCGGTGGGGCGGGAAAGGGGACGGGAGCGGGTGGGTGAAGTTAAACATGGGATAGATACAAATTTTATTGTTGCAAAGTTTCTTCGAACAGTTGATGCATTTGTTTTATTGATTATATGGGTGGTGTTTTGATTTCATTTGTTGGCCGCTAGTGCCTGCACTGACATCATCTGTCGAGTAGGCTGGTTCCAAGGGTTCTTTAAATGACGGCTGTTTTGGGCTGTTTGATGGTCTCATGACTCACGCCGTTGACGACTTGTTTGTATTATCACCAGCCGTCCCCACACCTCCCCTGCTGACACACTGTGCTCTGTCTCTGTGCTCTGTGCTGTGCTCTGTGCTGTGCTCTGTGCTGTGCTCTGTCCTGTGCTCTGTGCTGTGATCTGTCCTGTGCTCTGTCCTGTGGTCTGTGCTGTGCTCTGTGCTGCCCTATGCCAACACACTGTCTCTGTTCCTTCACAGGGCGTGCGCGCCGTGATAGCCGAGACGTACGAGCGTATCCACCGTAGTAACCTGGTCGGTATGGGCATCGTGCCGCTGCAGTACCGCGCCGGCGAATCGGCCGACTCGCTGGGTCTGAGCGGCCGCGAGACGTTCACGGTGCAGCTGCCGCCTGCTGACCGGCTCACCCCCGGCATGGACGTACCCGTCACGGTGAGAGGGGAAGGGGGAGGCGCCGTGGGTGGGTAATCAATGTGTGCGGCGGGTGGTGTGGTTAGGCCCGCTGTTAGCGTTTTATTGATGGAGTCTGGGTGCATTCACGCTTTGTTATGTCATTGATCGTGAATGGTAGTTTTGCTGGCTGTCATTTTCACTTTTCTTCTTTGCGTTACTAGCATGATTTATTGGATACTTTTATGACGTCAGTGAAATTGCTACAACGTAGTTATAAATCGATAAGTTATTGAGGCTAACTCTCTTTTTTGTAAATGTATTCCTGGATGGAGTTGTAGCCGGTGGCGGTCTGGCTGGAGTTGAGTGTTGTCCTCCGAGTTCCCAATAAGCTGGGTGAATTCGTAGAGCTGCGATCCAAGGACGAGGCGGTACCTCACCCCTGACGCTCGTGTGTCCCCCCCCCCCCCCTGCAGACGGGAGACGGCAAGACGTTCCACGTGGTGCTGCGCTTCGACACCGAGGTGGAGCTCACCTACCACCGGCACGGCGGCATTCTCAACTACATGGTGCGCAAGATGCTCTGAGCGCCGCGTGACGTCATTGGCCCAAAATTTACCAACCGGGAGAGTTGGTGTGCTGAGAGACAAACGCCGCCCGGCGGCCCCGTGCCATCGGTTTCTGACTGACATGGTTACCGAATGGGACACTGCGAGTGTTATCGAATGCTGGGGAACTAGTTTGGATTAGAGGTGACGGTTCGGCGTGTGTATACTGTTGACGGGCGGTATCGGTTTGAACTGAAACTCTGTTCCTGATGGTTGATTTTTTGATGAAAGCGAATATTTGTGATTCAACTTTCCATATTTGAGGATTTTAGTCTATATTCTTTGGAATGTCATACTATAGGAGTAGATTAGGATGTCTGAAAGGTAGCATCATTTATCGATTGTTATTGCATGATATTACTGGGAAAGTGGTAATGCGTTTTTATATATTTTTGAAAAATGTGAGGTCACACCGTGGGTTTTGTATCTTCGAACAATAATTGTCCGAGCTGGGACAACCTTGGCGACTCAGGAGATTGAATTCTGCCTCAATACACGGCATCTGGCACTGCGCGGTAGAGCTTTGTTACCGGTGACTCGCGACAGTAACTCGAGGATTTGCGATTTCAACGCTTCATGCCTATTTGACTCTCGTACCGAATTGCTTTTATAGATATCGTCAGTGGATGCGTGGGCACAATGTCTGAAATAGACGTAGCCAGTTCAGGTAAACCTGACAGTGTTTTCTGGAATATACCGGCGACTATTTCTGTATGGGTGTCGGTCAGAGCTCGGAGTCTTCCAGGCTGTCATTGAATGGCATGCTGGTTGAATCGTTTTACCTTTTTTCATAGCGCCGGTCATGTCGCGTCAACGTCATTGCCCTGCGCTCGGTGGAAACCAGCGAAACCGAAAGTAGGAAATAGGAATGATGATCGTTTCCTAGTGAAACAACTGCGAAGTACTCTTCAATGTGATTTTCTGAGATAAATCAGCGTGACATGTAGAGACATTTGTTGTGGGATGGGGTCTGCTTTGCCGTCGATGGAAGCAACGGCTGACGCCTCAGTTGTTGTTGTAGTTGTTGTTGTGCCCCTCGGCCCCGTCATCGGGGCGTAGTCGTCCGACTCTGGTATGAGCGGAAGCCAGCGGCCAAGGCCGCCACCACGTCGTCCTGGCGTAGGTCGGTGGAGCGTCCGTGAATGTTGCCTAGTGCGTGGAGCGGACCCCGCACAGGCACGGGCAGCGCAGTAAGACGTGCTGCGGGGTGTCCGCCTCCTCAGTCCTCCCCGCACACCAGATACCGGGCGGCAGGGCAGGCGGTGTCCATGCAGCCGGGGCAGTCGGGGGTCGGCCGGTGGCCGATGCGGTGGAGGCCGATGTGGTGTTGACTGTTGATACGCTCCAGTGGCCGGCCCGTAGCTGATGGATATCCACCGCTGCCTCTCTGCTGTCAAGTCGCACCGGTGCAGGCAGGGTCCGATCCGGGAAGATAGAACGGTACCAGCCGCCGGGCCAGCTCTCCTGCCATGATCGGCGCGCAGACCTGGCGGCGGCGCGGGTGATGCCCTTGACATCCAGGGGGGCGTTGGTCTGCTCGAGTTCGGCGACCTCCTTCGCCAATATGTCGGCCCGCTTGGTGCCCGGCAGACCACAGCGGGCCGGGACCCACTGAAGGTGGATTCGGCGATCGCGTCTGGCCAGCTGCAGTAGGAGCCGCCAGATAGCGTCGCCTAAATGGCTCGTCTGCGCCGCCGGTCACGACTCCAGGGCAGGGTGATTATTTTGGCTGACGCCTGGCAGGATAACCGGAAATATTAGTACGTATTTCGTAATAAACAAACGTAAGAATCACGATTAATTCACATTTGTTTACTAGAAATTAGCTCAGCAAAAGAGGTGGTTGTGATTTAAAGGGACACTCCCACCTTAACATTAGTTTTGAGTTGAGATAGCCAAATTGGTGGCCATGGCCTGCAAATACCGGTTTGGGCACTCACAACATCGACAAATGCTTTAATTCGGAGATATGGAATTTCAAACTTGCAGTTTTCGGATTCTAAGGGGCTAGTGCATTGGTATGCCCCCTTAGAATTTGTGACGTCAGCGGAGATCTAACGATTTTTAAATCTTTTACTAAAACGTTTGGTAGCACGCGGTGGTATATGCTGCTTTGCGCGCAACAAATGCCGCACTTTCAAATAAAGTCGCTAGGAACAGCGGAGATCCCAAAAAGTAAACAAAAGTAAAAAGTCTAATATCTTGAAAACCGGTGAATATTTTTCGATGAAATTTGGTAGATATTCGTTTTCGCTCTTTCTGAACCGAGCGACATCACTTTCGTGCCAATTCATTAACTTTTTTGAAGGTGGGAGGGTCCCTTTAACCAATCCACAGTGGCCCTTTTTCAGAATTAGCACGCATTAATTCCCACATTACCTGAAAGTGGTGCAAGACATCACCACGTGATCAAGGACGTATTCCCTGCCAATGCAAAGACAAGAAAAGAAACGAACTGCCCAAGGAGATTCGGCCCAACAGCGACAGGCCGCTCGGCCCAAGATTTGGCGCACGTTCGCACGGCTCGCCCGCCGGCCCAGGCCGCTCCGAACGCCAGTGGCGGCGGAATAGGGGGTGCAGGGGGTGCAGCTGCACCCCCATCGAAAAACATGGGGGTGCAAACATATCTTTTTGCACCCCCAAAATCCGTACAAGGGGCCCGTCGCACCATCCAATACATTTTCTCCCGAAAACCAGGGATCGGGAAACGAACACTGATGTGGAATCATCCGGGATGTCCAATTATGGTCAGGAGCGCCCCATGCTAGTCTGGGGCCCCCACACCGGCTAGAAGTGTCCCGAGCCGCGCTTGGTGCTCCATGCGGCATCTGAGGGCCCGCACGACGGACTCAGAGGGCCCTTTTATGACGATCTCTGAGGGCTCCCACGACGACCTCTGTCCCCTGGGGTCCTACAACGGCCACTAAGGGCCCTCATGACGATCGCTAGGGTCCCACAGATACTCCAGGGCCCCAAGGAGACTCCAGGGGCCACGCTGGTCTCTGAGGGCCCTTATGACGGCCTCTGAGGGCCCTTACGATGATCTCTGAGGGCTCTCACGACGACCTATGTCGTCGACCTATGAAGATGACCTATGAGGACGACCAACTTCTGAGGACGACCTATGTCCCCTGGGGCCCTATAACGACCACGAAGGGCCCTCATGACGACCGCTGAGGGTTCCACAGGACTCCAGGGGCCCCGCTGGCCTCTGAGGACCTCTACGACGGTCTCTGAGGGCCCTCGTGACGGCCCTAGACCCAACTCAAGTCTGAGGGCCCATTTGGCTTCAGACGGCCCAGCGACGGCCTCTGAGGGCCCAGCACAACCAGGCTGCAGGGGCTATGCTGGCATCTGAGGGCCCTGCAACGGTCTATTGAGGGCCCTAACGATAGCCTCTAGCGGTCTTACCAAGGCCTCTGAGAGCCGTGCAAAGGTGTCTGAGGGCCCATGAAGACCCTCACTATGGCCAAGAACCCTCATGACGACCTCTGATGATCCTTCCGAAGGCTTCTAAGGGCCATCACAGCAACTTCTGAGGACCCAGGACGGTCCCTGAGGGGCTGAGGGCCCTGACGACGACCTCTCTGGGCCCTCATGATGGTCTCTAAGACCCAACGCAAGCTCCAAAGGCCCACGCTGGCGTCTGAGGGCCCCACGACGGCCTCTGAGGGCCTCGACGCAGGCAGGCTCCAGGGGCCATGCTGACCTCTGAGGGCCCTCTTGACGGCTTCTAGGGCTTAACGAAGGCTTCAAGGGCCAACGCTGGCCTCTGAAGAACCCTACGACGGTCTCGGAGGGTCTCAACTCAACGCAGGCAGGTGCCAGGAGACATGCTGGCCTCTGAGGGTCCCGTAGAGCTCAGATTCAGAGGACCCAACGACCTTTGTGGACCTTACGAAATACGAAGGTCTCCGAGAGCTCACGCAGGCTCCTGGAATTCCACACTGATTCTCAGGCCCAATGTCGGCTTGTTGAGGCACTTTATCTGCTCTTGGTGCCCCGTCGCCGGCCTCTGAGAGTCTCAATGTCGGAACTTATTGGGCCATGGGCCCTACACCGGCTTTTATGGCCCCTACATCGACTCTTGGGACTCATGACCCATGAAATGTGGGTCTAAGCGGCTTCTAAGAATCCCCATGCTGGTTCTGGTAGCCGCCAGCCGAATATTAGGACTCGCATGCCGAATATTGGACTCCTGGGATCTCTTGCATGCCCCAGGGGTCTACCTGCCTCTAAGACCCCACGCATACTTTTTGGGCTCAAACGCTTGCCCCTGAAGGCCCCACTGAGACCCCTTTCCTCTATTCAGTCCTCCATACCGGCTCTTAAGGATAAACATCGGCTCCTGTGGCCTCCATCCCGGCTTTGGAGGGCCTCCATACAGGCTTTTTTGGGGTCCGATGCCGGTTTCTGAGAGCCCTCAAAAGGCTTTCGAGCCTATACCTACTGCCTTCTGAAACCTTTCAGCAACTTTCAAGGGACTGACCCTGATCGGAGGGCTCATTCAGTCTGGGGAGTCATGTAAGTCTCTGGAGGAGTCTCTATGTGGTCGGTTTCCAAGGGGCTTCTAAACACGGTCTTCTTGGAACGGTCTCGTAGGGCCCTCAATGGTCCACTGCGGATCCAGAAAAGAGGTTTGAGACGCTGCGGGTGGTGGCTAGACTAAAAGATTAGCCGATAAAAAACTAGCTGATTGCTTCTTTATGCGTTCATTATTTGAGATAGGTAGGTGCACTGCAATTCCAAACCTTTTAGAGAACTTGTGTGGATGGGGATAGTTTTCCAAAATCTTCGTTTTTCATAAATCAATAATAATCACTCAAAAAAAAGTAAAGGGGGGCCCACAACTTCCAGAGGGGCCCCTTGAGAAAACTTTGCACCCCCATCCAAAATTACCTTCCGCCGCCACTGCCGAACGCAAGTGTGGCGTGCCCGCCAGCCGACCGCGCTGCACTGACCGCCAGGACGCCTCAGGGCGTCACGTGACCGCATCTGCAGCTGTTGCCAGCCACCGTTAATCGGCCCCGGCCGGGCAGCAACTAAGGTCAGCGCGACGCGAACAATACAAACACATAGGCGCTTTTGACGTTAGATCTTAAGCCGACCACGGGACTTGTGCGGCTTGGACATCAAACGCGACAAGAAATCGGACAGTTTTTCTTGAGCACAGCGTTATGCCTATATGACATTTCAATAAGCACATCTTATGGCAAAAGTCAAGCCACATTTAGGCGCCCACCAGGTGACACCAGCTTCGAGCCAGGTCAATGAGCTTAGTCGTATCGAATAGGAGCCACAGCCGCTCGCGGACTGAACTGGCTCACGTTATTCACCGTAGAAGCAAAATGGCGCAAAATGGCGCGATGCCCTTTGGTGGACATGGTCAGAAGAGATCGGCGATTCGAACGATGTATAATACGATATGTCCCAGAGTGTGTTACTTAACATAAAGCTTCATATGTATGCCGCCATCTCCAGTTAATAATTGTCCTGTTATTGTGTCCACAATATTCGGCAAAAGTGGTCTATTTAAGTTTATACAATGAAAATTGTGGTTTCTAGGGCTTCTACGTAAACTCAGCTTCACAGCCATGCCACTAATTTTTAATATTTTCTCACCGAAAGCCTTACAAATTGATGTTCATCTCACCCTACTTTTTAGGGTCCGCCGGTGGTGTCCGCGCGCCTCTCGACAAACTTCGATTTTGCGGTCAGTTTTACCAAAGATAATTATTTTTTAGGAGGTAAAAATGGCACCATCGGATAGTTTGGAATGTTTTGCACACGATTAGACTGCTTGTTACTCAAAAGAAGAAAAAAATATTTTGAATTTATGCGTGCTAATTCTGAAAAAGGGCCACTGTGCAATCGAACAACTACGCTCTGACGTGCGTTCATTGGTTGATATCTGTGACGTCATTAGTTCACAGAAGTGTTTTACGGAAATCCTCACCACTTGTTCTCAAATCCTTGTTCTCACGAAATGAATGGGCGTGTTTTGTTTTGAAATGAACTGGAACGGCGCTTTTCTCGAAGTTCAAGTTGGCGGTGCGCGACACCTGCGAACGATTTTCAGGAAATAGGCGTGTCTCTAGCTTTCAAGTTGCTTCATATTCAAGTGTTTGAGTATTTTCAATCAAATAATATTTATTTTTCCCAGCTAGGTCAAAAAGTAAGTCGAGGTTGGATTTTGGAACTATTGCATTGCTATAGGTGACAATCAGTTTGATCTATCATTGAATATCAATCAAAACGTCATTTTTTATTGATGGATTCTAACTAAGAATTGTTAAAAATTAAATATGGTTTTTCATTTCAGTTTCTTCGGTCTATCATAATCATATCCTAGGTAGCATGGTGCCTGCCTATGTTATGTGACCGAGACCTTTTGCGGTAATCTCTCCTTACTCACATTATTCAGAGGGCTTTTCACGGGCCCTGTGTGCGGTCGGACCATATACAGCCTCCGAGCTCCACCCACTGCACCCCTACGACAGCCTTTCGTCACTGCACACAGCGACCGCTGTGGCCGGTTGGGCTCGGGACTGGCCACAGCAGACTCTCCACCGCACACAGCCATGACTTCATAACTGCCTACCCATCCCCTACCCCCATGCCTGCTGCACACACCGCACATACCACACTCAGCAGTTTGCGGTGTCCGTAAACACCCCTCAGATTTCAGACCCCTCTGCACCTAAGGGGATGAGTTTTTGTTGATCTTCATATTTATCAAATCTGTGCAGTACATTACATGTGTTGCAATTGCTGCATGTCTGACTTCCCCTCTGAATGTGATCAGTCATCTCCATTGGCCATTCCCCAGACTGCAAAGCATGGCAGGGATCAACAAGCCGCAGCTGATTTTAGGATTGCTGTGATTTAAATCCAGCAGGTACATTTCAACATGCATTCACTCAATCTCATTGATTATATGGCATATCAATATGCCCTCAGCCCTATGATTCATTGGTTCTATGGCCTGCACTGGGTAGCCACAAGCCTGTAAGAACCAGGCTCAAAATTTACACCAGGCTGCTCTGAGCAAGGGTTATAAAATTACTTTAAAATTTTGAAGACCCTTTTGTTCCTGGTGAGAAAAAAAAACTTCAAATAATGTAAATATTCCCTGGTTGACCGTACATAAGTGTATCATGTATGCCATTACGTTTGACTAGGCTGCACCATCAGGGTGATACAACGCAGTGCTGGCTTAGGCCCCACCACTCAAAATCTGCACTGCACCATGGGAAATGCAGATCATTGCCAAGTTTTTTGTATACCTTGATGTGGACTACAGGGACCAGCGATGGGTCCATTTGAACATTTATGAAGTAGTTTTGATGCCTTTGTATCATGTTACAAAGCTGTGTGTGTAGTTGACACCTTTTATGATAACCTGGTTCTACGTCTTCTGGTTGACTTGACCCGACCTGGCCTAAATGCATTAAGACATCATCTTTGATCAAAACCATCATGAAATTTGTGATCAGCAGCCCGAAAACAATCTTACCTTATGAGGTTCTAATGTGTCCCAAATCCGATTTTCCCGACTCTTGCGTCATTCACCTGACCTGGAAGGTCAGTCAATGACCTATGACCTTAAAATCGGGTATCATCGGCCTCCTCTCGTCACGGCCAACATGCTGTTTTTTTTCCGCGAAGCTGTAGCTCATCAGGGGCCCAACGGCAGGGCCGAAACCGTTCCGTGACACGCTAGACGCTGGAAGACACCGCCCACAGGCCAGGGTTAATTTTGGTATCGTATATTCAGGGGCCGCTACTAAGCTTCCTGTGACTATTAACTTTGTATCCTGACTGGGGTGAGCATCAAAAACATTACCGCGGCCCTGAGCGGCCAGCAGGTCTCGCGATTAAACCCGGAGAACAGGAGGGTTTCCCCTTCTGTGTGTGCTCCCACCAGCGCACGCTGCTGACTGCAGACGTAGCTATTAATCCATCCCTCGCCAGGGAGCTGATCTGCTGTTTCATCTTTGTGTGCTCTCTCGCAGGTCCAGTCGCCATGGCCGTGAATGTGTACGCCACCGGTCAGACCACTGACAACATGAGTCGACACGACATGCTGGCCTGGGTCAACAACTGCCTGGAGGCCAACTTCGGCAAGATTGAGGAACTCTGCACGGGCGCTGCCTACTGCCAGTTCATGGACATGATGTTCCCAGGTGAGACAGTGGCAGAGGAGGTCGGTTTTGCAGTGACCATCGGCACTTAACTGTAAATTGTGTAGGTCACAATTGTCTTTGGAAGTAAGCTGACATGTACTTGAGATGTAGCGGATACGTTTTCTGCTGAACTTCGAGCTACCTTCTGACCACGCATCAGACTGATTGGGGCTGCTGAGAAACTAGCTCGCAAGACGCTAACATGGAATCCGCACCCCCAGATCACTGCAGTGGTTATTTACAATACACAGGGAACATTTACCATGCGCTAAATATTTCGCGATTCAATTCAGTTTGAATATACATTTGAATCAGGCTACAGTGTTGTCGACGTGGCCCCAGAAACGTCCATTGTTCCCTTGTATGGAAAGCAAACACTTGGTTACCATGCTGAATCATCGTCCTTCAACTGGGTGACCTCTCACATCTGTGGAACTCGGTTCTGACCTTTGATTCACCAGCAGTCATCTCGCAGGCACCGGTGTTCTGGATTGTCCCACGATTATTTTTACAATGCTTTGTTGCTGGGTGGAGTCAGATTGCATCGCTGTCTGTTTCCTGGAATGAACTGTGGCTACTTGCATCATGCTGCTTTTTTAGTCACATATCGACTGTTTCGTACTGAGCTCGTAGTTTTCGTTTATTACAATCGAGTATACTCGATGTAAATTGTAAACGTCACAGACGTGACCAATGCGACCTCTAGCTACCTATCTTTCTGCATCGACTTACGATACAGCGAGTGTCATACGAACACGCTGCTTCATGCAACGCTTTATGTTTCAGGATCCGTCTTGATGAAGAAGGTTAAATTCCAAACAAATCTCGAGCACGAGTACATCCAAAACTTCAAAACTCTGCAGGCCTCCTTCAAGAAGATGAGTGTGGACAAGGTGAGTGAGCGGGCCGCGGCTGCTTGCCGCGCTGTGCCGCAGAGTTGCCGTGTGTTTTGCCGCCCGCCCCTCGGAGTTGTATATAATCGCACGCCGTGCTCTGTACTGCGATGCTGCGAGCCGCTGCGCCTCGCCTGCCTGTTGTGTTGCGCGGCTTGGCGCTGCGCTGGGCTGGCTGGGCGGATTGCCTCCCCAGGCTCTGTCGGCATGCCCGGCAGAGCTGGCCAGCCGGGACGAAAACGGGGTGGGGCTGAGTATAACAGGCGGGACACTGTCACGAAACAGCCCCGTGTGGTAAGTAGACCCCCTTAGTGGCAGGGTTTCTGCTTGCTGCAAATCAGTATTGTCCATGCTTGCAATGCCACCATAAATACTATATGTTGCATCAAACCTTACCTTGCTTTTAATTTCCATTTGGAATAGGTATTATGTATGTGATCCAGGGCTGCGGAGTCGATGGATTTTCGGCGACTCCGACTCCGACTCCGACTCCGGCTTTCAAAAACCAGCTCCGACTCCGACTCCGACTCCGGGCAGAATTGTCGACTCCTACCGACTCCAACTCCCGACTCCGACTCCGCAGACCTAGCAGGGCTGCGGAGTCGACAGATTTTCGGTGACTCCGACTCCGACTCCGGCTCGGGTTTCTAAAATCCACTCCGACTCCGACTCCGACTCCGGTCACAACTGTCGACTCCGACCGACTCCGACTCCGACTCCGACTCCGCAGCCCTGAGTGATCTCTCACCGAAAGTTTTGGTGATAGGCGATCAAACCAAGTGATTCGAAAGAAGTTAAAGGATGTCTCTTACCATATCTTGAAAGTAGTGCATTGCTGAACAAAAGTTTTACGCGCTGTACCTAACTTTGCGTATGAAGCTGTTCACATAATGAGCAATAATGGCTGGTAGCGCGCCTGAAGTTTGCTCTAATTTAACGCACATCTTTTGGTCCCGATGCCAGATACCTCTCGGCTGGTCTTCAACTAGACCATTCGATCAGCGTAATATTTTGATTGCGACGGTGGCCTTCGTTAGTAAGTACGGCCAATATTGACGGCCGGTTAGGTGACGCTTACTGTCCAGTCACTCCCCAAAGCCCGACATCCTCAGACAAGGCCACATTTCGCGCGGCGTGCCGTCCTCTCCTCTCACACTGTGAGGCGATGGGGTGTCCCTGATGGGGCGTCAGACACTCCCGTCTCCACCTCCCACCCTTTGTCGCACCCCCCCCCCCCCCCCCGTCTTGACCTCGATGGTCGTCTGTCAGTGCGCCACTCGGAGTCTGCAGTGCCGACCTCTCACCCCTGGTATTGGCCACAGCGGCGCGGCCCGTGTGCAGTGCGAGAGTCCGACCAGCTACGGCAGGGGAAGGGGTGGGTAGGTGGGTGTTGAGTACTGGGAGATTACAAAGCTACCAATAGCGGAGAGGTGACGGGGTTTTCGTCAAGTGGTTTGTCAGGCTTATGAGTTTTGATGCTAAAGGGAATAAACGTTCTTGAATGCAGTTATGAAATATGACACATTTGTTCAGGTGGCTCACGCATCCGTCGCGTTTGGACAATTGTTGTATCGCCGCTACGCCGGTCCCGTAGCTCAGTTGGTAGAGCGTTGGACTCCGCGTGGTGAGAGCACGCGTTCCCGGTTATAACAGTCCGGGTTCGAAGCGCGACGGGCGCTTGACATTTATGGGCCTCCTGACAGGTATGGTTGCGGTTGGTGGCAGGCCGTAGCCAGGCGAAGTCAGTGAGGGGACCGGCCGTGCGCGGCTATGTGCGCACGTTAAACTTTGGACTCTAAATTCTGCCATAGTACCGGAATTGCGCGACCGGAGGGTAGAGGGCAGGGTCACCGCAACAAGCTTCGCTTAGCGGTGGCTTTGTCCTTGTGAATCCTTCCTATCAAAAGGTTCGGACTAAATTTATAAAAAAAAAAATCAATTTCAGTCACGATTCGCTTGCGCACCGCACCCTTTACGTTGTATTTGACGGGGACCTAGCGTACATTTTAATGACTCGGTTTTATCTTATCTTGCACCCGGCAAGGGTTGTAGTTATAGAGTGGATTATGGGGCTGTGGGGTTCAATCGTTTATATTTGTTAGCCTTCAGTTATTACAATACTTCTGCAGTAGTAAATCGAAGTGTTTCACTGAACACGTTTGCATAATGCATTACGTTACGGGCTCGTTTTATATGGGGGACATTCCTTATTTCTCCCGTAGGCGCTGATTTAGTCAGTTCGTCGTAGCATTATTTGGTTCCGCCGTGAGCTCTGGTCGACATCCTCAGCGCCCTGGTCCCCTATTACAGGTCATCCCCGTTGACAAGCTGATCAAGGGCAAGTTCCAAGACAACTTTGAGTTCCTGCAGTGGTTCAAACGCTTCTTTGACTCCAACTACGACGGCAGCGAGTACCAGGCGCTGGAGGCGCGCGGCGGCCTGCCGCTGGGCGGCGGCGGCGGCGGCGGCGGCGGCGGCGCGCCACGGCGCAGTCAGATGGCGCGGCCGGCGGCGCGCGCCCCTCACAGACCCGGTAACCGGACCGGCGCCCCCGCGTGCCGCACGCTAACGTGCATGTCGGGACCGGGCGCGCCGCGCGCGCGCGCTCGCTGCATGCTGGGCACTGCCGGCACGCGCACTCAGTAGCCAGACATCACTGACACCCTGACACCGCTCTGTCCCCGCTCACGCACTCTCTCACCCCGCTGACCCTGTTCGCGATAGGTGGTGAGCATCAAACAGCTGGTGCGGGGCAAGTTCCAAGACAACTTTGAGTTTTGCCAGTGGTTCCATCGGTTCTTCGAAGCCAACGGGGGCGCACAGGCGGCAGCCGAGTACGACGCGCTGTCGGCGAGGGGCGGCTCTGTGATGGGTCGCCTGTGGAGCCAGCAGCGAGCCAACGTAGCCCGAACCGGCTCCTCGAGATCCACCGGCTCAGCGTCCGGTCAGAAACGTAGACAAACTTTGGGATGTAGTCCGGCAGAGGTAGTCGGTCGGCCGACGTTATCTCTGCGGCTGATAGAGAGGGAAGAGGGCGTCAGAGAGCCACTGGTGAAGTTGGGACGGCGCATAGCCGGCATAGTAGTGTGCCGACAAATAATTGTTCTCGGTATATCTGAGTTTGCTAGCTGACGTTATTTTAGTGGTGCTTTGGTGGAGGGCGTTCTCTACCTGTAGGCCTCACGGCCCACGGGCTTGTGATAGCTGTCTCAACAATCCGCGAGGCTTTAAGTCGCACTGCCTTAGGAGAGAGAGAGAGAGAGAGAGAGAGAGAGAGAGAGAGAGAGAGAGAGAGAGAGAGAGAGAGAGAGAGAGAGAGAGAGAGAGAGAGAGAGAGAGAGAGAGAGAGAGAGAGAGAGAGAGAGAGAGAGAGAGAGAGAGAGAGAGAGAGAGAGAGAGAGAGAGAGAGAGAGAGAGAGAGAGAGAGAGAGAGAGAGAGAGAGAGAGAGAGAGAGAGAGAGAGAGAGAGAGAGAGAGAGAGAGAGAGAGAGAGAGAGAGAGAGAGAGAGAGAGAGAGAGAGAGAGAGAGAGAGAGAGAGAGAGAGAGAGAGAGAGAGAGAGAGAGAGAGAGAGAGAGAGAGAGAGAGAGAGAGAGAGAGAGAGAGAGAGAGAGAGAGAGAGAGAGAGAGAGAGAGAGAGAGAGAGAGAGAGAGAGAGAGAGAGAGAGAGAGAGAGAGAGAGAGAGAGAGAGAGAGAGAGAGAGAGAGAGAGAGAGAGAGAGAGAGAGAGAGAGAGAGAGAGAGAGAGAGAGAGAGAGAGAGAGAGAGAGAGAGAGAGAGAGAGAGAGAGAGAGAGAGAGACTGAGATGCTCTCGTTGTTTCGCTCATTTAGGGAGCGGCCTTGCCGTGAGAAGTTGACTTTCCGGCTCATCAATATATTGGTTTTGATAGCAGGAGCTCCCGTGGTCAGCGGTGAGTGAATTTACACCACGGTGCATGCATTCGCCATGGGGTAGAAGCAGGCTAGTCAGCGGTCACACGAAACGAGGCCCTGGCACGCAATGCCAGGGCCTCGTTTCATATACGTCGGTGTAACTAATACCGCTCTTCAGCTTTATGAAACGGATTCTGCTTGAAATGCGACAAGTCTGGCGTAAATGGCGTAGAGTTGTCCATAGATCATCATATGAGCTTACCCCCTGACTCATCTATCAGCGTCTCTCGTTCTCGATAAGCCCTTTTAGCGCGCCATTTCATGTAGCGCTAACTGCTTTTAACTAATGCTGCTGGGAAGGGTGAGGGACTTTGACAACCAGTCCTATAGCTGGGTCTGCCGGCTAGTGCTGTACACTGCGCTTCGTACGCTGTCCTGTCCTGTCGCTGCCCTGTCCGCCACCCGCCTCTTACCGACTGCCGCCGGGCCTAACTACCAACGCATTCTGCGGAGGCTTTCTCATATTCCTACGCTTCTTCTTTGGCACATGGCACAAGTTGAATTAATTAATTGATGATGGAATGGTGTGTTTGTGCTGGGCGTCTTGCAAGTTGTTCTGTATTTCAAAACGTTGATTAGTGGCTCCTCAATATGTTCACTTCTTGTGTATAAATGTGTTCAACCGTTTATCAGTGTTCATCTAGGTATGGGGTCTCAGTATCTTTGGGCAATATGCATTCTGTTTTTGGCGTTTGCAGTCAGGTTGTCAGTGACTCGGGTGGCATATTTGAAATGTGTTATTCGTAGTTAATTCCTTGTATTTTTCTTTTTAGTTTTGGTAAGGTACCTTGGTATTGGCCGTTCTCTCAACATGTTTATAGATTTGGAGCTAATATGCATTATGCATGCTTGTTCTTCTTGCAATCACATTTTGTAGACACTGCCAGGTAGTATATTTGCATATGTTTTGTGTGCACGTGCTGATGCGTGTTTGCCCAGCACCAATTAGCCGCATTGTGTTCTGGATAAAAACCATCGAAATGGATTTTACACCATTGTGGCCATTACCTAAAATGAATTAAATTAAAATTTGGTCCTTCACATTCGCTCTGTTTGTTTCTATTTTCCATACCTAGTCACCATACCTACAGCTACCAAGCGCTGCAGTGCTTGCGTGGCAAGTCAGACCCGCTGCCTGAATTTGATGCCTGTCTCGCGTGCCGTCTCGCCCTCTCCCTGTCTGTGACCGATTGTCGTTCCGCAGCAGCGGCCCCGGCGGCCCGGTCGGCGCCGGCTGCTCGACCTGCAGCGCCTCGCGCGGCCCCTGCCGCCAGGTCAGCCGCCGGTGACAGCCGACAGGCGGAGGTGGGTGACGCTAGAGGGTTGGGGTGACGCTAGAGGGACGGAGAGGTACTGGTACTGGGCCGGGATAGCGGAGCTAGGGATAGGAGGATAGGTATAATCAGGGCAATACTTACAACAGGTTTGGTGAGTCTCTATTGGCGGATGCGGCGTGTGGGCGATGCCTTCAGGCCCTCCAAGATGCGGTTTTCGCGTTTGTGTTTAAAACAGGGCGTTTTTTGCGTAAGGCGGATGTCTCTTTACGAATTACACAAAGTTGTCTAGGAGCTTGAAGAATGCAGTATTGTGCAGGTTATTATTAACGACTGTTTGAGTTTGCCCTTTTCCGTTTTATCCATTTGTGTCTGGTACTTGTCCCGGGGGTAACGGGCTTTCGAGGTCTTTAACCTCTCTGGCAGCTCAGCAATTTTGCATTGTTTCCAGGTGGACGAGCTGACAACACAAGTCCAGACGATGCAACTGACCTTGGAGGACTTGGAAAAGGAGCGAGACTTTTACTTCGGCAAACTGAGGGACATTGAAGTCATCTGCCAAGAGGAAGAAGGCACCAACAGCGACCTCATCCAGAGGATCCTCGCCATATTGTACGCCACAGCGGTACGTACCCGGGCGAATGATTCTCCGGCATTTATGACGCAAGGGAGCCGAGGCAGTTACCTGACAAACTATCAGCTGAAATGACGCTTGAAAACTGAAATTGTCTCAAATTTAGGGTAGGATTAATACAGTTCACAATGTGTTCGCGTCGTTGGTGGCGAATTCCCGCTAGGAGGATCTCGAAACTTAGCGCGTTTAACTCTGTAGTTCCACATTCAGGACCGTTTGGTGATCAGTGTGTGGTGCAGTTACTAAGAGCCTTTCCACACCTGTCGTGTTGTGTGTTCTATCCACAGTGCGGTTTCCCCGGGACGTTTTTTAAGGCCCGTATTATACCCTCCCCAGGACGGTTTCGCCGTGCCAGACGACGAGGAGGAGGTCCCGCCACCTCCAGGCGACGACGAATACTAGTCGACCGCCGACCGCCGCTGCATTCCAAAGGGCCGGCTCAGCATGAGAGCTCAGCTCAACCGGACTGCCCGATAGCTCTATCCGACTGAGGAGCGTGTTCAGCTCTGCGCTCTGCCCGGAGACGTCACTCCATGCTGCCCCGCAGAGCTCCGATCTGAGCCGGCCGGCCGTCTCGCGCTCGGCGCCATTCCAGTGTGGGCCGCCCGGTGCGGCCGTCCGCCGTCCGCCTGCCTCAGCGGCTAACCCGCTAACACCGCTCACAGACAGTGGCCCGGCCCAGCCGCCGCCGCCGCCCAGAGGACGATATTACCGCGGTCACCTGCCGTTACCGCCCGTGTGCCGTGTGTGTTTGTGGTTGTGAGGTTGCGCCCGTCGCCGAGCCCGACCGGGCCGGCCGACGGGCGCCATGTTGTGTCGGCCACCGTTTTACTGGCGGCGCTTTAAGCCTTCTAATTTAATTATCGAAATATATAATTACATTGTACAGAGACGTCTTTTTCATATCCATTTTGTTCTAAAGAAGACAATTCATGGAAAGAAATTAAGTTCTTATTTTTTCCAAACTGCACAATCGGCATCCTGCATTTGGGATTCGCTTTAAAGATATTTATCTTGAAAAGTTGGAGTTAAACCTAACTTCGTAATAACTTCATCCACAAGTATTGGAAAGGATGCTTCCTATGTTCCATTCTTTAGTCTTCAACCTAATCGTTTTTAGATAGAGTGTCCACTGTCCATTTTCCGGAAACATTTCCTACGCCGACGCGTCCACCAGTTTACACTAGAAATTCGTCACCTTTTCCTCGTTAACAGACTAGCTCGCGTGCCCTTCCATCGCATGATAATTTCAATAGATGTGGGCACGGGGCGTGATTTAGTATTGTGCATTACTGCTAATAACCCACTTCATGGCGGAAATATAGCATGCAATCTGGGTACTTTCATCTATCTCCATCCGCGCCGCCACCTACCTACCTTCGGGAGCAGCCCCGCCCCGCCCCGTTCCACCCTCGCTGCCGTGTCGTGGGGTGTCGCCGCTCTCTGAGAGTGTCCGTCCCGGATGGCTGGCTTCGCGTTGTTTCTATATACTCTGGCTCCACCGGTAGCTACTCTACAAAGTACCTGGCTGCTGAGATACGGCCGGATCCGGATACCTAGATCTTGTGTGGGGAATTGGCGATTCGACTGATGCTTGGGCCTGTCTCTATGCTATGCTATTGTATCACTGTTTTATTTGAGCGTGGTGCTTTCCCCGGAACTGAAAAGCACGTTTTATCCATGGTCGCGCGCGCACGTTAGCTTGGCCGACTCGATAGCGGTTTGATGTGTTTGTTCATGACACCTGCGTATCAGATGTGTTTACAAAGCAGCGCACGCCGGGTCCTAAAGCTGTAATTGTTGTGTCACAAAACCAGGCATTTCCGAGCTACAGCAGCGCATACCGAAACGATGACAGCATTGTCTTATACGCGGATGCCGTTTTCATTGCTGAAAGTCGCGTCGAATGAAAGGAGAAAGTGGACGACAGCTTTCCTTTGTTGTGACAGAGGGAACGGTGGATGATTTCCGAGTGGACCATTCGACGAGCCTCAGACAGTCTCCTTCCCTACTTGACTTGTTCTAGGTGGTCATCTCTGTGCGCATCTTGTGCACACCTAGCTATGCTCATTGATTGTTCAGTGCAGCGTAAACACATACCTTTTCGTCACTGTTCTACTGTAAACATGTTTATTTACAAATTACGCACCATGCAAAACATCCCTCATGCATAACTGACCGGGACTGAGCACCTCAGCTGTAGCTATCGAGTCAAGTAGTCCGACATCACTTTTTACGCTCCTTGCATTTTTGCGCTAACCAGTAACCGAACAAGATATAGTATACACATGAAAGACAAAACACACTCCCTGAAGGTATGAAAGGTACTCCGGTTTGATGCGTCTCATAAGCGCCCATTTATGTTCCGCCGGTGTTGACGGTTATCTGATAACTGCATCCGCCGACAAGAGTCAGCAGGTTTTGCGAAATGCTTAATACCTTAGGAGCCTTCCTCATCCATGACCTGGAGCTCACCATAGTGTAGGCAAAATTATCCAGAGTAGTGAGATGATGACCTCCTTGGCTCGTACTTTCCTCCACCGCCACTGGAGCTTGGGATGCTTCCGTAACTGGAGCCTCCGCCTCCTCCACTGCTGTAGCCGCCGCCGCCTCCGCTTCCCTTGCTGGGAGCTCCGTAACCTGATGAGACGCTGGGAGCTCCGTAACCTGAAGAGACGCTGGGGCCGCCGCCATATCCACCGCCGCCTCCGCTTCCTTTGCTGGGAGCTCCGTAACCTGAAGAGACGCTGGGAGCTCCATAGCCTGAAGAGACGCTAGAGCCACCACCATATCCACCGCCGCCTCCGCTTCCCTTACTGGGAGCTCCGTAGCCTGAAGAGACGCTGGGAGCTCCGTAACCCGAAGAGACGCTAGAGCCTCCGCCATATCCACCGCCGCCTCCGCTTCCCTTGCTGGGAGCTCCATAGCCTGAAGAGACGCTGGAGCCACCGCCATATCCACCGCCGCCTCCGCTTCCCTTGCTGGGAGCTCCGTAACCTGAAGAGACGCTGGGAGCTCCGTAGCCTGAAGAGACGCTGGAGCCACCACCATATCCACCGCCGCCTCCGCTTCCCTTGCTGGGAGCTCCGTAACCCGAAGAGACGCTGGAGCCACCACCATATCCACCGCCGCCTCCGCTTCCTCCACTGCTGTATCCACCGCCGCCTCCGCTTCCCTTGCTGGGAGCTCCGTAACCTGAAGAGACGCTGGAGCCACCACCATATCCACCGCCGCCTCCGCCTCCTCCACTGCTGTATCCACCGCCGCCTCCGCTTCCCTTGCTGGGAGCTCCGTAACCTGAAGAGACGCTGGGAGCTCCGTAACCCGAAGAGACGCTGGAGCCACCACCATATCCACCGCCGCCTCCGCTTCCCTTGCTGGGAGCTCCATAGCCTGAAGAGACGCTGGAGCCACCGCCATATCCACCGCCGCCTCCGCTTCCCTTGCTGGGAGCTCCGTAACCTGAAGAGACGCTGGGAGCTCCGTAGCCTGAAGAGACGCTGGAGCCACCACCATATCCACCGCCGCCTCCGCTTCCCTTGCTGGGAGCTCCGTAACCCGAAGAGACGCTGGAGCCACCACCATATCCACCGCCGCCTCCGCTTCCTCCACTGCTGTATCCGCCGCCGCCTCCGCTTCCCTTGCTGGGAGCTCCGTAACCTGAAGAGACGCTGGGAGCTCCGTAACCCGAAGAGACGCTGGAGCCACCACCATATCCACCGCCGCCTCCGCTTCCCTTGCTGGGAGCTCCATAGCCTGAAGAGACGCTGGAGCCACCGCCATATCCACCGCCGCCTCCGCTTCCCTTGCTGGGAGCTCCGTACCCTGAAGAGACGCTGGAGCCACCACTATATCCACCGCCGCCTCCGCTTCCTTTGCTGGGGGCTCCGTAGCCTGAAGAGACGCTGGGAGCTCCGTAGCCTGAAGAGACGCTGGAGCCACCACCATATCCACCGCCGCCTCCGCTTCCCTTGCTGGGAGCTCCGTAACCCGAAGAGACGCTGGAGCCACCACCATATCCACCGCCGCCTCCGCTTCCCTTGCTGGGAGCTCCGTAACCTGAAGAGACGCTGGGAGCTCCGTAACCCGAAGAGACGCTGGAGCCACCACCATATCCACCGCCGCCTCCGCTTCCCTTGCTGGGAGCTCCATAGCCTGAAGAGACGCTGGAGCCACCGCCATATCCACCGCCGCCTCCGCTTCCCTTGCTGGGAGCTCCGTAACCTGAAGAGACGCTGGGAGCTCCGTAACCCGAAGAGACGCTGGAGCCACCACCATATCCACCGCCGCCTCCGCTTCCCTTGCTGGGAGCTCCATAGCCTGAAGAGACGCTGGAGCCACCGCCATATCCACCGCCGCCTCCGCTTCCCTTGCTGGGAGCTCCGTAACCTGAAGAGACGCTGGGAGCTCCGTAGCCTGAAGAGACGCTGGAGCCACCACCATATCCACCGCCGCCTCCGCTTCCCTTGCTGGGAGCTCCGTAACCCGAAGAGACGCTGGAGCCACCACCATATCCACCGCCGCCTCCGCCGCCTCCACTGCTGTATCCACCGCCGCCTCCTCCGCCATGTCCTCCACCTCCGGAGAATCCTCCTCCACCATGTCCTCCGCCTCCGGAGAATCCTCCTCCGCCATGTCCTCCGCCTCCGGAGAACCCTCCTCCGCCATGTCCTCCTCCGTCGGCCAGGCAAAGGCCGGCCAGGAGGGCCACCGTGCACACCTGAGAAGGAGCACGGCGTTGTAAGAGGATGCTTTTGGTGGTGCTTTGAGGGCTATTAGGTATGGCGGAGTTATTTGGATTTGGGGAAAATGTACGCTTTATTTAGAAGTAAAGATGCAGTAAGATCCCTGGTACTGAATGAAAACACATTATTGATTAGTTCTCAGTGCTGGATTTGCCGTTACGTTGACGTAGCGGAAATAGAGCCAGGCTAGATGATAAAGTATCAATGGGAGCCTGGCGCGAAATGTTTTTGCGGTGCCGGCTCACCTGTCTGAAGGCCATGCTGGAGCTGCTTTGGACGGCTGTTTGGGCCGCTGAGTGCAGCTGTGCCGCCACCGACCGCGGGCCGCCGTTATATAGTGCCGGCCCAGAGAGACGGTCACGGCTGGGGAGAGCCACTGCCACGCCACGCCCCCTCTCCCCCACGCGGCTCTTCGACGCCAAACGTGACCCAGTCACCACTTGCTGTGTTGTGCACTCCGGGCTGCTCAAGGCCGGTTATCAGTATGGAAGCTATCAGCAGAGACCGTTCACGCAGAAACTCGCGTCAATTGTGCTGTTCGTTGCCTCCATGTGCCTAGGGGCTTTGTATGGATTCTCATCTCAATACTTATCTTTGTCCTGTAGCTTGGGTCTTTTTTATGTCTCTTTCTCGGACTGGCGGTCGCAGCCGCTAGCAAAAGGGGGGGGGGGCCAAAGTGACACTCGCGGGACATAACATTTATCCGTCACCGGGAGGGGGGGGGGGTGATCGGCTAATTTTTACGTCCACGAGGTGCCGCGCAGTTGGCATTACTTATGCTTCATCCATCTGATTCTTGCGTGAAATCTTTAAAGGGACCCTCCCACCTTAACATTAGATTTGAGTTGAGATAGCCAAAATGGGGTCCCTGGCTCACAATTACCGGTTTCGGCACTCACAACATCGAGAAATGCCTTAAATCGGAAATATTGAATTTCAAAATTGCAGCATTTTGATTCAGAGGGGCTAATGCATAGGTATACCCCTCTGAATGTGTGACGTCATCGCAGATATCTAACGATTTTTAAATGTTTGACTAAAACGTTTTGTAGCACGCGGTGGTATATGCTGCTTTGCGCGCAACAAATGCCGCACTTTCAAATAAAGTCGGTAGGAACAGCGGAGATCCCAAAAAAGTAAACAAAAGTTAAAGTCTAATGTCTTGAAAACCGGTGAATATTTTTCGATGAAATTTGGTAGATATTCGTTTTTGCTCTTTCTGAACCGAGCGACATCACTTTCATGCCAATTCATTAACTTTTTTGAAGGCGGGAGGGTCCCTTTAAGCTCAATTTAAGGCAAAATCACCAGTTCCATTTCCCGTCCCACGGTGCTTCCACCGGTCGGCCCACTGCACCATGACGACGGATCGGTGTAGCATAGGTACCTATACTGGAAGGTCAGGCACGCGGATTCATGACCTTACCACTATAAAACAATTCGGAAAAGTGCAGATACCTCTTGCTTTGAACAAGCATGTGAAACCTAGAGAGCATTTTCAGACTATGACATTTACCCATATAGGTAACACACTTAGTTGTGTGGCGGCGGGAGAGAATGGGTACACCGACCTCTGGAGACCCCCCCCCCCACAGGTTCCGAGCTTTCAAAATTGGCATCTGAGGGCCGCGCGCGACTCCTGCGGGGCTTCGCAACGGCTCTATTGGAGCTCACTCAACCTGCCTAGTCTTACTGCTAAAAAGACTGGCCCTGAGCCCTCAGGACTTCATCAGTCTCTGCCAGCCCCAGGACCAGTGGCGCAGCCAGGGGGGGGGGGTCAGAGGGTCAGCTGACCCCCCCGAAATTTCTGTCAGGGGCCCGCTCGAGAGAGAGAGAGAGAGAGAGAGAGAGAGAGAGAGAGAGAGAGAGAGAGAGAGAGAGAGAGAGAGAGAGAGAGAGAGAGAGAGAGAGAGAGAGAGAGAGAGAGAGAGAGAGAAAGAGAGAGGGAGGAGAGAGGTCCTAATCTAATCGGATGAGCCCACTTCGAGAAATGCCTACTGGGACACCACGGGTGAGGGGCCGGCCTGGGGCCCCAGGTGGACGGGGCCCGGGCCCCCGGGAGAACGGGCCCGGGTCCCCTGGGTGGATGGGGCCCGGGCCCCCCTGGATGGGTTCGGGCCCCTGGGAGAACGGGCCCCGGGCCCCGGGTGGACGGGCCCGGACCCCCGGTTGGATGGGGCCCGGGCCCGCGGGAGAACGGGCCCGGGCCTCCCGGAGAACGGGCCCCTGGGAGAACAGGCCCGGGCCCCCTGGGTGGATGGGGCCCGGGCCCCCTGGGTGGATGGGGCCCGGGACCCCCGTGGATGGGTTCGGGCCCCGGGTGGATGGGGCCCGGGCCCCCGTTGGATTGGTCCGGGCCCCCGGGAGAACGGGCCCGGGCCTCCTGGTTGGATGGGGCCCGCCCCCGTGGATGGGTTCGGGCCCCTGGGAGAACGGGCCCCGGGCCCCGGGTGGACGGGGCCCGGACCCCCGGTTGGATGGGGCCCGCCCCCGTGGATGGGTTCGGGCCCCTGGGAGAACGGGCCCCGGGCCCCGGGTGGACGGGGCCCGGACCCCCGGTTGGATGGGGCCCGGGCCCGCGGGAGAACGGGTCCGGGCCTCCCGGAGAACGGGCCCCTGGGAAAACAGGCCCGGGCCCCCTAGGTGGATGGGGCCCGGGCTCCCTGGGTGGATGGGGCCAGGGCTCCCGTGGATGGGTCCGGGCCCACGGGAGAACGGGCCCCTGGCCCCGGGTGGACGGGCCCGGGAGCCCCGGGTGGACGGGGACCGGAGCCCCAGGTGGACGTGGCCCGGGCCCCCGTGTGGATAGGGCCCGGGCTTCTGGTTGAATGGGGCCCGCTAGGGTGACCCTCTTGCTCCGCAAAGCGAATAAGTGGTATTTTCGATCGGTGGGCGTTTGGTTGGTCTTGTGTCCGTGGGTTATGTATCCACTTCGGTCGATTGCCTTTTGACGGCTAAGCATTTTGGTTTGGGGAAAAATATCCATCGCATCGAGGTGCTCGTGTCTGATAAGCATGCGTTCTACTATAGAACATGTCATGTGTAGCTTATAGCAAAGGTTTACGTAGGTTATTGAAACATGAAAACCATCGATAAATTACTATGTAGAGGTTTGAAACATTTATATTTTTTAAGAATACTGTTGCTCGTCATGCAAAAGCGATGATTGGATTTTGGACAAAGTTGAATGTTCTTTCCAACTATGCCATTTTCAACTGTCAAACGTACTAGGTTATGCAGTAAAAACCGTGTAATTAAGTACCTAAGTCATTAACAAATACCATTTTCTCCAGCGATTTGTTCCACCTTGTTTTCGATCAATTGGCTTTTTACAATTTTTCCATAAGAGGCGGTACATTTCTTTTGTTTGAACCCGCTCCGTAAGACAGTCACCCGGAAATAGTTAGCATTAAGTCCCAAATCTGTCCGAAACGTCTATTTTCCAGCATAAGTGCCATCACGGATGCACGTGGCACGTGCCATCCCTGCACCGCACACCATTCGATAGCCCGTTCGATGCTCTACACGATACTCAGATACTGTGTTCCCCGTGCCAAGGGGGACGGTGGTATGTACAACTCCCCATCGCGTTTGACCCATGATCGAGCTAGAGCTTCGCAGAAAAAACGAGCGTGTTGCCCGTGACGAGAGGAAGCCGACAATACCCAATTTTAAGGTTCTTGATCATTGATTGAGCTTCCAGGTCAGGTCAATGACCGAAAAATCGGGAAAATCGGGAGCTGTTAGAACGTCGTAAAGTGTTGCTGCTATAGGGGTTTTCGGGGTGCTGATCACGAATAGATATTATGTTAGTTTTGATCATAAATGATGTCTGTATGCATTTAGGCCAGGTCGGGTCAGGTCAGGTCAGGTCAACCAGTAGGGGTCCTGCCGGGTATTCGTAGTACCTACGTGTCAGCCGCCTCTGGAAGCTTCGTAACATGTTAAGAAGGCACCAAAACTACATCGTAAATGTTCAAATGGTTGCTAAACTCGGATTCAACTCCAAAAACTAGCCTAGAAACATGTAAAATTCGCAAAAAGTACCGAGGTCATCATAGGTCAATGACCTGACCTGACCTTCAGGTGACCTTGACATCCACCCTTATGCATGGGAGCAGCATCAACTCACATGTCTGAACGCTTGAAACCACGAAAAGACTGCAAACGCGCGGCTAATACGAGCCTTGATACGAGCCGGCATACGCCGAATCGCGATTCTGGCCAAACATGGTTTTGGAAAGTAGGTCACAGCCAAAGGTCAAAGGTCATTTGGGTCAGGGTCATGAAATTTCTAGGGTAGGTGTAAAACTGATCAACACAAAGGTGTTGAAAGTTTGGTCGCGATCAGCCGCTTTTTACGCGAGTTATTCGCGAAAAACCTTAGGGGGGTTGCATCATCCCCTACCCCCTGTGCCGGCGAGGGTTAAAAATTATTGTAAGCGAATTCACGTAATGAAGAAGAATAAAGCCACAATCTACTGCAGCAGCCAATAGATGACTTAGGACAGGCACATGTGTGATGTGACTACTTAAATCTTGTCCGACAGAAGCAGGCAACAGTTCCGTTTGCATAGGGTGAATAGGTCAAAAACGCCCCCATTAAGCGCGAAACCTTCTGACACTCAACCCAACCCAGATTACTCAAACCTTTTGGCACCATCATGTAGCTCATTCTTTTTACTACGCTTTGAGACCAAGAAAAGACACTTGCGTGTGGTATTTAACCCCCAAAAAAGGTTTCCGCATACCCTTACAAAAGGGCGTTTTGCCCCACACCCTGGGTAATACGCCCACACCCATGTGCAAAACGCCCCCACCCCATCCATCAACAGAAAATGATGAACATGGCAGAACTTGACGTCATTCTGACGTCATTTGTGGTCAACCTATCATAGCCTTTGGAATAAAATGTTTTTCCAATGTGTAAAATGGATGCCCGGAGGAGTCCTGAAAGTTTGGTGACGATATCTGCAGTCGTTTAGGATATATCAGCAAAGAAGGACAGGGAGAGGCCTTTTCGGCCCCGACCTACACGGCGCTACCCTGCACTCTCACCACCGTGCAAAACGCCCCCCTTTCAGAAAACTGGGGGCGTCTTGCCCCATGCATCGAGTAGGCGTCTTTCCCCATCCACTCCATTTCCGGTCAACAAAATATTGACAAAAAACGCGCCACTAACGCCGCAGCATAATAAATTCAACAGAATGACAATAAAACGCAGTTTTGAGTGATGTGCACAATAGCAAGTTCTGTTATATAAAGAGGGCGTCAAAAGCTTAGGAATCTTCTGTAAAAACAACAAAAATAGCACCCAAAACCAACATCAGCACCTACCCACGCTGCTCCTCAAGACGCAGAACCGGAAATAGAGAACTACGTAAATAAGCAGCTGACTGTTCTGAAAGC